CTTGTGCAGTGTAAAGAGGATTCATGCGGGAAAAATGCGATTTGTTTCGTTAATCACCACATGATCAATTGTGTCTGTCCAAATGGTTATACCGGTAAGCTGGCATCTACACAAAAAGTCATTCTTGATCAAATTAAGCATGGACACGTCTGGAAAAATCCAATGTTTGCTAATCTGTGTGCTTGGAAAAAACTCCAAACTTGCAGGTGATCCATTCAAAGGTTGCACTGTGAAATCGATGATTGCTGGCATGGCCGGTGATCCACACTGCCGGACATTCGATGAACAACGTTTTGACTACATGGGAACATGCCCATATTACTACGTTGTCCCCTGCGGCACATCATTTCCGAAGCCATTCGGATCATTTTGGCTCAAAGCCAAAAACCAACTTTCCTTTCCGAATGCACAGTAAGTTTGCTGGCATCTGTAATCCTACAGATGGATAACATGCAAATATGCTGTTGCTCAAACATATTTTTGTATTGTGCAAGGAAAAAAATATGTTTGTTATTACTAATTTATTAGATTAGTTAGTGTTAGACTAGATGTCAAAAATGTTAATTTATTATATTAGTTAACATTTTTTAAACTAGATACCATAAATCAAATCATAAACTAACGTAGCAACTAGTGCTTATTTGCAACATAAGAAATGTAGTTACTGCTTGATTTTATATGAAAACTAGCTTGTATTTTGTAGCTTCAACTTCAGCTGTTTGCAGTGTTTCTACAGTTTCCGAGTTCGAGGTGCATCTTCAGGATCAGACATATCACGTGGATAGGATGTACAATTTGTATATGAATGGCATCCATGTTACAATGCCACACCATTTCCCAGACAGGAAAAATTCCAAGGTTCGATTTAGCAGTACTGCAACGCAAAATCGCTCGGACTGTCTAAGTGGGTCTTCGATGCAATACCGTATCTGGCACTGCAAAGCATGCATTACTTAATTTACGTTACTGAGTTATTGCTGCACAAAAAATAGCATTTTTGTCTATTATCGATGTCGCTCATGCACTAAAAAGTTCAAAATTTTAGTTTCTTTTTTTCCTTAACAGTAAAAAGCATGCAGAAGTGCTATACCGTAATTTTATTCTACGAACTCCTGAAGCAAAATAGATTAATGGCGATTTGAGCAATAGTGGGCGGGCAATTCAGGCATTTATGGTTTCATGATAACAACACATGTTATTTGGTAATGCCAGCGAGATGCAAAAGTAGGGCTCAGCTCATGAGGTAAAAAAAA